CACTGAAACACTTTATTGTTGCTTTTAATTGTTTATTGTTGTTCTTATTGGCTTGTTTTATTTATTTTAATGTGTCGTCTTTTTCAGGAGATTGAACAGAGTAAGTATTTCATTGTGTAGAACAACTACCTGTTTGCTGTGCATATGACAATAAAACTCTTGAAGAGGTTCACTTAGGATTACATCCACTAAACGCACATGAACGATGCCTTCAGGCCCGGAGTGTTTGAACGGATCCTGACCCGAACCCCATAACGAGGACGCTTTTTGTCATTAAGCTAATCAGTGATTCAGCTGCTCCTCTCAGCCTCAGTGGTCCTACAAACCGAGCAGAGCTGACAAACTAAACTCCACCGACGCTCCGTTAAATAATCACAACTCCTGTTATCGTGGTGGAAAACTAACGACGACCCTGGTTCCGGGTATCGGTGGTCAGTCCACGCTGTTGGTACTGAAATGTGGACAAACATACAAAAAGAACCGCCGTCACACAGATCCGGTGCTGTGGTTTGTGAGCCGGTTCTGTTACCAGAGGCAGCAGAACCGGCTCAGACTGCAGCTCACGGAGGGACTCACCTCTCTTGGTCTTGATCCAGACGTCGTACTCGATGTTTCTGAGCAGAGTCGGGTTCAGAGACCTCCGGACTCTCTCGGGCAGCTGCCGGCCTCGACCCCGACCCTGAAACACGCCAGTCAGTGATGTCAGCGCCCAGGAACACAGGCGGGTCAGGACCGGAAATCATTCAGCGGGTCTTACCCTGTAGCTCTGGCTGTGTCTGGGAGACGTCGAACTGGTTCCGTCTTCCAGCCTGAACCACAAAACACACATCAGCAGGTGTTTCAGAAATACAGACCGTGCTAGCAATGAGAACCTGAAGGAGGCAAGACAACTACAGCGAGTAGAGATGATGTGTCTGATACGCAAAAGAGCAAATAACAGTAAGAAACAGGCAGCAGGTGTACTTCTAGAACCCCTGAGTGATCTCATGTCCTCATTCAGCAGAACCTGGACAGGATCTGGGTCTGGGTCAGAGTCTGAACTCCAACAGCACTCACGTAGAACTCACGTCTGCTCATGTTCCTCCATATGATCGGCTGCAGTCACTTCAGTCAGTAACAGCACCAGCTGAAGACACCCCAACCTGCTACCTGACTGACGCCGGAACCAGAACAGCACAGTTTCGGACCGCACCATGTAAAGGAGCGGATGGATTCGGTTTGTGTTTAGCTTGAAGGAGACGCTGACGATAAGTTCAGGACAGAGTGAAAACGCTCATCGACTTAAATGTCAAACCGCAATGACAACATTTGAACCCTCAAAACCTACTAGCGGTCATGATTAGAACCCGGCCGTCGGTTCTGCCGTACCCATGCAGCCCTGAGGTGAATGCACAGTCAGCAGACATGTTTCCTACCGCGGCACGTCGCCCGGGTCCAGGTCGGACTCGTCGCTGCTGGGGCAGGCGGCCATGCTGTCGTCGCTGAGGAGGTCGGAGGGCCGGCCGGTCCGCTGGCAGAGACCCAGGAGGCTCCGGTCCACCTTGAACACTCGCTCGTACAGCAGCTCGTACAGGATGGCTGCAGCAGACACGCAGGGTTAAACCAGGTCAAACACTTGGACTAGTCTGAGAGTCGGCGGGGTGCTGGGAGGTCATTTCTACCGTCATGGTTCTGGTTCTGTGGTTCTGCTTTAACCTGACTGATGAGCAGAACTCAGGTGAACCCTCACCTGCACAGCTGAAGTCACTAAACTACCAGAACCAAACATGGATGCTGTTCTGCACTGAAGCTGCCTCCCAGGTGCTGCACCACCAGCTAGCGTAGCAACGAGCTAACACTGTGTTTGTTGATGGCAGCGGTGAGAGCGCAGCGCCACCATGAGGTCAAACTGTAACATCAAACATTTACAGTCCGACAGCATCCTCTGCAGTGAACCAACAAAACTCTTGTGTGATAAACGTTTACGTTGTTCCTCCTCTGTTGGTCCTGATGCTAGAGCTGAACTAACGGTACACTATTATGGGATGTCAGGGCCCAGGGCAGTGGAGCACGCTGTCCTGAAGTCACGGCTCTATGGTCAGACTGTGACTAAATCAAAGCTAGATGAACCAACAGTAGCGCAGCGCTAATGCTAACGATCATTAGCATTACTACAGCGACATCACTGTAAAAATGCTAACAATCGTTAGCATTATTACAGTGACACCACGGTCATAGTGATGCTAATCAGGGCTACAGACCGACTTCAGGCTACAGACATATACATATATACATATACACATATATACATATATACACATATACATATACACATATATA